GTAGTTTACTCTTCAAAGTTGTTTTTATCAGCAAATTAAGGCCCAGTTTGTATTTGTAAACTACTCTAAACAGTTTATCTACTCCTTGGGGAAATCGGGCTTTCGTACTGAAAGTCAGCCTGGCCATAATGCTGTCAATGGAACAAACGGCAGTCTAGGCAGCTTTCTTTTCAAAGCTTACTTTGCCATTGAACAAATAAATACTCATTCCTCATGCTTTTTCATGTCTACTATGGGACGTTTTCGTGCACACCCCTTAATCTATTATCTCTACTCTTTTACCTCCGGTCCGGTGCAGAGAGGTCCTATACATATCAGTATATTTCTCCTTAGATTTTATGCTACCCTTTCAGTTTATGAGTTGCATACTACCTGAAAGTAAAAAGCACAAAATGCATTTTGCTGCACAAATAAATACTTGATCCATGATGGTTGATCGGCCATCTTGCGGTCCTTGACATTTCCGGTACGGTTGAAAAAATAAGCTCATCGTAAACATTAGTGCCTTTTCTTACAAAAAATCGCACAAGCTTTCAAATTAACAAATCTAGAGTCCACGCGCTGGTGTTTTATCGAAGTTGACGCATTAATGCACACTTTGGCTCTCCTAATTTACATGGGTTTGAAAATCGATTTCATGTTTGCGGAGAGTCTCTTAAGAATCCTTTTTTTTCATAAGAACACGTGCAACCACGTAGGTATGGTGAGCGAATTTTAGTAGCCTATTAGGTCTCCGAGTCAGATATTAAACAGCTGCTCAGCTATAATGGGTTGATATCATTGTGAATTCACTAGTTAAAATGGAAGTTAAAAAGTTATTACAAAGTCTCTTACTCACTTTTTATTGAATCACTAAATTTCGAAATAACTCAGTCTTTTAGGAAATAGTTCAATCTTTGATCAGGAATTGGATCTCCTCTTAGTTGGCTATCAGACAATTATGTGTCTTCATTTGAGAGTGCATCGGTATTATTTGTGCAGATTGTAACCTGTAAAGCTGCTGAGCAAGTCATGCTTTGCGGTTTCTGCGGTGTTTTGATTGAATCTGCCTGCGCTTGCAGCATTTGTTCATGGAAATTTGCTGTTTCCATGCTTTTACTTTTTTGTAAAAGTTACAATTTTTCTCCGGCAGTGGACTGTTTGAAGTATTGAAAATCGGTTAACGCAACACAAAAATGCGCAACTATATCATACGATTGTTCATTCCATCGATATGTATACTTGTACCAAAGATCTAATAGGTCACTTGCGCACTACAAAAAAAAGGAGAATGAGAGGATATAGTGAAAATGAAGTTCTGGGGTCCACATCGTGTTTGCAATGGCTTAGTATAGTTTAGCAAGCACTCTGTATTGATTGGATGGCTGCAACTGGTTAACAATTAACTCAATCTTCTCTTTGATACATATGTCAAGTTTTATGTAATGAGAGAGGTGGTTTTTACGTCTCTGCTGCGTGATAGAGGTTCCTTGTATAATGTATGACTGTTTATCTACCGGTTGTGTGTATTCCGGTTTCGTCGGTTTCCCTGTCTTCTACACTACCTGCCTCTGAAGTAGTAACTTCCTTTGCTGTTATGCTTTCGATTTAACACTGCATGCGCATGTCGCAGATCCTCAAAGACATAAAGTTTCCACTGAGTCTGGATCTCTACGAGTTTTGCGCCAAGGATCTGCAGGAAAAGCTGCTACCAGCGCGTGAGAAGGTGCGCATTGAAGAGGATGAAGAGGCCCTGTCGGCGAAGGCCAAAAAGCCGGCCAGCTCTGTCAATGATGGTATGTCACTCGGGTGTGTGCAAGTAACGTAACGTAACAGCCTACTTATTGTTAAAAGTAGCAATATATTTGTATTTGGACTTACTCAGTTTCGATCTAGGGGATGCCGATTTGAGACAAGCAGGCTCTTTGTAGGACAGCATTTATGTTTGCACCAAGCTATGCTTTCATTCCCTAAGACTCCTATGGATCGGTTTATTATCGAAATTGCAAAAAATATTTAGTTAACCGGCCTATTTTGAGATTTTCAAAGAAATAAATGATCAGCAATGTATATGGTATTGTTTTACCACCCATTTCCCCTGCAGACACAGATGTTTTGTGTTTTCGTGTTTTCTAGACAATTTACCCAATCCCATCGACAATCCTGATTTGTATGAACCCTACTGGTTTGAAGATGATCTTGGATCCAACAACACGGGTTTCTACGAACTTCAGGGTGTCCTCACTCACCAGGGTCGATCAAGCACCAGTGG